ATGAACGTTGCGTTTTAATCATGTACTGTCTATATGTAAAAGTCTGTTTTCCCCCTTCCTTTTGATTGTGAGCCGCCCTGAGTTCCCCCCAGGGAAAAGGGCGGCATACAAATAAACACAAATTCAAATTCAAACCCTGGAATTTCCTGGCTGTGTTCCTCCAAGAATTAACTAGGTGTGATTTTAGCTTTGGAATTCAAGTAAAGGCAAATCAGGTGTCATTGTTGCTTCCATGTCTAGATCAAACTTGAAATTGCCAGAATGAAGCCACCACCTTTCTCATTGGCCAAAAATAAGTCATTGTTAGTACATGTTTCTGGTAGTAGCTGAAATACCAGCAGATGGGCTGGCCTCTATCTCTCGACATTAACACTGTCTGAAGAGCCTTCATTTGAGCATATTGTTTTTACAGGTGCTGCCATCTGCTGATATAAAACATTTAATTTATATTTAAAATTGGCTTTAAATGTACTTGTTGCATATAAAGTGGACTTTTTTTAAAAAAAGATCTTTTCACTCAATTGCAAAGCAGAAATTATCCAAAATACAGCCCAAGAATAAATAATAAATTCACTTTATTTGGCCTTTGGGATACAACTTAAATATTCAGATATTACATAACTATTAAAAAAACTTTCCACTCATGAGAGTCTTCTAAAAAACCTGGCCTACACAAATGCTAATGTTAGTATAAGGTGTGCCTTTTATAAAGCACTAGGTGTCCTCTGTTTAAGAACAAGTATAGTACAGTCCACGAGCATGACAAAATGGTCTGTGATTGTCATTCTCTGCAGGAACCTATTAACTGCAGACACACATTTTTCAGTATGACCAACCCTCTCATAATGAGAGGCTTCATTAATTTATCCACCTAATTGCAAGCTCTCGCAATCGGCATGTGATTGTGTGATCAAGGAAACGTACATGACTGGCAACACAAAACTACCAGCAATGGATGACAGGCAGGAAAGTAATACCCAGTCAGCTGATTAGCTCTTGCCCTTTAGATCATAGCTGTCCACCTCTTACAACAGAATACATTTTTCTTAAACTAGAAGTATTGCCTAGTCAATCAACTGTATCCCAAATAAACTTATTAATTTCATATATCAGAATTTTTGCTGCAGAAAACTATTTTTTGCCTTTAAACTTACAACATTCTCCCAGCAACATGTATTATCTGTTGCTGCAACGCAGTAAACTGCTCTAAATTGTTTTCGATGTTCTTTCTTACCGAAGGAGGAAGTAAGATCAACAAATGAAATGTTAATCAGATGAATG